TTTGGGGGGTGGAGGAGGGGGAGGGGTTGGCGCAGGGCCCTGGCAGGTAGCGTGGAGAAAAATAAATATATAGGGGTGTCGGTAACACCCCACATAGCCGTTACCTCGTCCATATCTCTCTCTCTCTCTCTCTCTCCCTCTGTGTGTGTGGCATACTGCGTAGCCACACGGGCCCTGCAGGGCCCGTCCCGGACATTTAGCCTAAAAGCCTAAAACTTAGGGCTTACAGGCCCCGTTTGTTTCAGCCTGAAAGATGAAAAACGAGGGCCTGCAGGCCCTACCCCGTTTCAGCCTATTTCTGGGTCTTTTCAGACCCTGAGTTTTCATCCTAAAACGGAGGGCCATTTTCGGGCCCTCATTGTTTCGACCTGCCCCTAAGACTCAGGCACGTAAACAGGGATGCGGCACGTAAACAGGGATGCGGAACAGGTCAGAAATAGCCTGTTCCCCACGAGTTTGAGCAGGAGCTGCAGCTGCAGCCCCTGCCTCCCTTCGGCAGGCTCAGGAGGCACACCCGTAGTACATAGGAAGTTCCCATGCACTTCACGGGTAGGTAGTTCAGTAGGCACGAGGTAGTCTTCAGGATTCGGCCGCAGCACTCAGGAGGAGCGCTGCAGTAGTCTTTAGCGCTAGGCAGGTATTAGCGCTGGCTGTAGTCTTCGGCGCTGGGCGCCATAGCTGTAGCTGTAGTCTTCAGCGCTGGGTGCTGGTAGGTGGTAGATCGTGGAGTGGGAGAGAGACTGGCGGAGGCCAGTGTTACTTACCTGTGGCACCATCGCTCCARCTCCATCTTCGTGGTACCTGCATCAAGGCGCCAACTTCACAGGTTAGTACTGGACACAGAGAGAGAGAGAGTTCTTCTTCTTCCTCTTCTAAGTCCACCTTCTCTTCTCACCCTCTCGCCACCTGACTTCTCAGACTACGACAGAGAGAGACAGAGTTCTGACTTGAGACTTGACAACATTGGATCCAGACTTGACATTTGGGATTCAGACATTTCGACGAGGGACTATTTGGGCTTGTGCCGAAGACTCGGTGTTGATGACATTCCCATCTTCCCCCTCCTCTTCGTCTATCCCCTTCCTCCTCGTCTGTGTATGGTATGGGTTGGCGCTGTCTTCCTGTGTGAAGCGCCAGACCCCATTCACACCATGTAACGATGATGATGATGTATGTTCAGGGCTGCATTGCAACATTGATTGTTCGGATCACTGGTATCTAAGTCTTCCGCTGTGCTATCTTATACTTTGTATTGAAAGGTCGGTTCTTGTTCTGGTCTGCACGTTACAGTATGTAACAGTTTGTAACGCAAGTAGGACTTAGTCAAATCTCTGAATTTTTATTTTTTTTTGCAACAACTATCTGAAATTTCTGATATTCGCATTTTCGTTCTATCTGAAAATTTCTGATATTAGTAGTTCGTTTTTACGTGACAAATATATGAAAATTTATGATAAATCGCATTTCGTTTTGTCTGAAAATTCCCGATAGTAGCAATTCGTTTCTCTGATATTTCATACATAGCTGAAACTTCTGAAGTTAGTATTTTCGTTCTCTAGGCATATTGGGATAACGGTAGAAGTGGTCATATTCTCGGAAACTGAAATTATCCTTTTCTGAAAATCGCATTTCCATTCTATCTCGCAATTTTTATTTTTTTTTTGAAAACTGAATCTTGCGAAGCCTACCAATATTGCGTTAGGCATATTCGGAGGTTGCTATATTCTCAGAAACTGGATTTCGTTCTTTTCTGAAAATCGCATCTTTACTCGCTTTCGCAAAATGTTTTTTCAAGATCGCAGTTTGTAAAAGCCGAAACTTTGCGGAACCTAGCCTAGATCTCGTTCATAATACTCTTCTGACATATCCTACTCATCATAGATCGACAGATATACATAATAAAAAAAAAACGGAAGTAGTCCTCTTTTATTTTTTTATTTTATCTGTTGATTAGGGCCGAAGGAAAGATCGTTGGGTTGGTTACCTACCTCCGTTTTCCCTCCCGCGCACCCCTTGCATGCATTCCGGTTCGGTACAGTGCCACGTCAGCAGCGCCACGTCACAGTGCCAGATCAGCAGTGCCACGTCTCAGTGCCACGTCACTGTGCCAGGTCAAAGTGCCACGTCAGTAGTGCCACGTCACAGTGCCAGATCAGCAGTGCCACGTCACGGTGTCAGGTCACAGTGCCACGTCAGACACAGTGCCACGTAAGCAGTGCCACATCAGCAGTGCCACGTCAGACAAAGTGCCACTAAAGCAGTGCCACATCAGTAGTGCCACGTCAGACACAGTGCCACACTGCCACGTAAGCAGTGCCACATCAGCAGTGCCACGTCAGACAAAGTGCCACGCCAGCAGTGCCACGTTAGCAACATGACGGGCCTGCCAGGGCAACTGCCCAACGAGTCCATTGCCACCTACAAGCAGCGTTGCCTGCCTCAGATTGAGGCTAAGGAACAACGCCAGCTGGCAGCCGAGGCTGCCCTCGTACAGGCTGAAGAGGCAGCAGCAGCAGAGAAGCTGCGACTACAGGCCGATGCAGACGCAGACTCCCAGGCTCGCCGCAAGGAAGCCCAGGATCTGCTATTGCGGCATGAAGCCACAAGCATCGACAGACTCAAATTCTGGCACTTTGAACCGAACGGCGACGAGGCAAACCCGGAAGAGCAGCATAAGGAGTTCCTCTCCAAACTCGTGACACGGCTACCAGCGGTCAGAGTTGGAGAGACAGCACCAGGACCTGACGCAACAGCATTTGGAGTTGGCGACGCTCCGCCGCACAGAGCAGGGCCATGAGGATGCAACTCGGGCACTCAATGCCCGATTGTTGGACCTGGAACAGGCTGGACCAGGACCAGCTGCAGGGGCTTCCAACAGTGCACCCTCTAGCCGCCAACTGGAGGACCGCGTCGACCACGTAGTGGCCATGCTCAGCGACATCAGCACATTCGCTGCGCCGACCACCACCATCAACAGCCAGCTACATACATTGAAGACCGAGGTCCAACAGCTGCAGTCGACGAACGCAGATGGCAATCAGAAGATGCCAACTTTCCAACTGGAAAAGTTCGACGACTACACGCAGCAGGATCCGACCCTCTGGTGGGAGGC